TCATACTTCTCCAACTCTCCCGCCCTACCCTGGAGTTTAGTGCCACGCTGGGTGCTCTGTAGATGCTTAAAAAGTAATGACCCAGTTGCTCTCACAGCTGTGCCAGGAGCAACCTCCCACAAGTGAGGCCATGACACCAGCCGCTGGAGTTTGTTAACACAGTTGCCGGATGTTAATGTGGGGTGAATGTGGGGTGTTCAAGTGCAAAGTCATTTGGACAAAATGTGCATTGCTTTACCCCAAGCAGAAACAAATGTTAGGATGCTACATTCTCAGAGAAAGTACATTGCATTTGGCATCTTCCCAGGACCCAAAACCACAAATGGCATTAACCCTTTAGTGGCAGGTCCCGGAGGAACATGTGGTCCTTCTCCCCGTCAAGTCTTCCCTGCACCTACCATATCTCACAAAAGTACACACACACACACACACACACACACGCACGCACGCACGCCCTTAGTCTAGACTTTCCCCTGAAGAATGTTAAATAATCTTCAAGCCTGAGATTATTGTTGCAATTAGCTATCTCCTAATCACAGGCTTGCTCAAATCTTTCCTGATGAGAAGAAGAAGAGGATCATACTGATGATCATGGTGATGATGCCCTGATTGCTTTGGGTATTAAAACGAAATTGAAAACTTAACATGCGTTATGATCTACTCATTATCAGGAGTCTCTGAAAAACATGGTAAGTTTGCTACTGCACAGCCTTTGAAAATAATATGCATATTCTGAAATAAAATTCCTGTCAGAGCATTGGACTTGAGGTCAAGGCTCTTTCTGCTCAGCTGAGTCAGTGATTTGTTGTTGACCTTGGGAATGTCCTTGTGCCTCTCTGGGCCTCAGTGACCTCCCCTGGAAAGTCGGGTTGAATGAGAGGATGTGGCAGTGACGCAGGAACAGACGTCTGAGTACCGTGGCTAAACGAGTGAGCGCTGCTTTGGTGCTTCCTCCGGAGCTGCTCCTCCACCTTTATCACATGACCTTGTCTTTGGGGCTTTAAGGGGACACTGCACATACAGGCGTCTTTGGGCAAAAGAACGTGTTGTGCTCATTGAATTTGTCCCACTCCCTTTTGTCTTAACTGGAAAAAAAATGTCTTCCTGAAGCCCCAGCAGGTGTGTTTCTGCTGATTCTCATCAGCCGGAGCTGGGTCACCCGGCGTCGCCTGCTAGAGGACATCATTAACCGAGCAAATTGTGATGGTGAAAGATTGGGGCTCAGGTAGCCAGGGAGAAGGGAGAGAAGCTGTGGTGCGGGCACTCAGTGTTGGCCACAGACAGCTTCTGAGCTCCACCCTGTCTGGGCTTCTCCGGAATTGCACCTGGAAACCTGTCATTACCCAAGGCCGTGTTCTCACTGCACCCGCCCCCAGTGCACACAGGGATTCGTCCTGGTTTGGATTAGCAGGTTCAGCTCATTAGCATGCCCAGAGGAAGATGCTAATGCCAGGGTGGCGTGGCGTGGGCGTGGGTGTGGGCGTGGGGAGCCATCCATTCACCCCGCCTTTCTGTTCTCTTGTCCCCGAGGGAAACGGGCAGGGAGGAGCTGCCAGGTAACTAATGAGCAACAGGCAAACCCCTTCAGGCTGATGATGTATTTTCCTCTTCCTGGGAGGCCAGGCCAGGAGGGAAGGTGGGTGGCCTTGTCTGTAAAAGCAGCCTTTGCTCGTGTCTTCTGCAGTGGACATCGGCGGCTTTGTCTGACCTCTCATAAGCGGGGAAACGTCTTATTTTGAGAAACTCTGCCTCCCTCAATGGATGTGGGTTTGGTGGGAGCAGCAATGGAGAGGCCAGCCAAGGAATGGAGTCCCCTGGAGACTGGATCCTTGGCAGAGATGCAGGAATGGAACATCCTGAAGGCAAAGTCACCACCTGCCCCGTCCTTCATAGCCTGGTTCTCCTCATCCTTCCCATAAGTAAGGATCCAGGCAGCCTCAGCCAGTGTCTGGTTCTTGCAACCCCCAAACCCTGACAAGTATGTCTTGTCATTGCATTATTCATCCTGCAGGGGTTCGCAAGCAGCAAGGAGTCTGTGATGCTTCAGGACAAACACTCGGGCCAGCGTGCTTGTCCGCGTCCCCTCTAATCCGCTCTGTGACCTTGGCCGCACCTCTCTCTCCCTCTGAGCCTCCGCTTCCTCACTGGGAAAATGCTGGGTTAGACCACAACTGTAGCTTCAAACTATTATCTGAAGTGCTTCGGGATTTCTCCCCAGAAAATCCTCAGGGGCCACGTGGGGAGCTCAGGAGCCGCCTATTACAACGGCTGTGGGGCCGGACCCCACTTCAATGACAATAGCTCAGCTTCCATCCAATTTACATACTGAGCATGAAATATTTTTTATTGGTCCTGGGCTAAAAATAAACGTTTGAAAAATGCTGGACAATATGATCTCTAAAGGGCCCTTCCAGCTCTGATATTCTGTGATTCTAAGCAGGTGGAATATTTGGTAACATCTTTTCATTCATCAGCATAATTGGGAGCGCAGGAAAGCCTGCCAAAACACCCTCTATATCTAAATAAAATCTTGTGTGTGCAAAACAACGACAATGAAGGACATTCAGGGAAGAGCAGGCTGTGTAGAGAGCTGCAGACGAACAAAGCGCAGGTCCGGGCTTTGCTATTCTGGCAACGCCAGGGGTGTGGGTCTGGGGAACGAAGCCCACCAGGGCTTTACCTAGTCTTTGCTGCTGTAGCAAAAATGCAAACTCATGTGCAAACCAAATCTGGGCCCCGTGTTTCGCTGGGCACATTCAAGGTTTTAAAGACTTTCAATTAGTTATCAATATTCATACATTGGAAAATGCATTTTAAAATCCCGGTCCCTGGCTTCTTCTGACAAACTAGAAGCTGTGACAACATCAGCCCGGCATTCTAATGGGACAGCAATCAGCAGAGCCCGGCAGACGGCCCCTTCCGGCTGGTGCACCTGCTTCACTCTGCTCCCTGCCCAGCTGCGCCTCCCCAGACCCCTGACCCTGACTGAGCCCAGGTGCTGGCGACCAGGTAGGCCTGCACTTGTATTATGCTTTTCTGTGTGTGTGTGTGTGTGTGTTTTTTCCCTAACGCAGAATAATGGTAAATAAAACATAAAATAGTTCTTATATCCCTGTCCTTATCCAACATGGAGAAACAAAAGATAAATTGAGAAAGGCTTGCTCCTCTAAAAAACCAGGGCAGAGATGGTATTTCTTTATGACAGTGGTTTTCAAATAGGAGGAGTTTTATGGGCGTGCACGTGCACACAGACACACACACACACACACACACAGCCCACCCCCCTCCCCGGGAAAATCTGGCAATGTCCAGAGACGTTTGTGATTGTCACAACTGGGGAACTGCTGTTGGGATCTAGTGGGGAGAGGTCAGGGATGCTATTGCATATCCTACAATGCACAGGGCAGCCCCTACAACAAGGATTTCTCCAACCACGAATGCTGACAGCACCCTGTTTTGTGGATTCCTGATGGTTTACATCCCCTGCCCCTTCACACTTTTACATCACCTGCCAGGGCCCTGCCCTTCGGGTTCTGGTGACCTAGGCCTGCACTGATGATGAAGGAGCCAGGACGGGAAAATGATTTCTGTCCTGATGGGGCAAGAGTGAAAATGATGATGACCATTCTGACATAGGTGTGGCCTCCATGAGTTCATTCTCTCCATTCTTGCTCTTAGGAGCCTCATACGCACCCTGAGAGGAGAAGCCATTCCCCCAGCTCAGGCCCAGGGTCACTTAGTCCCCTTGTTTTGAGCCTCATAGCTTGTAAATGACAGGGCAAGGCCCAGGGCAGACATGTGACGGTGTGTTCTGGGCCCGGTTCCCAGCTCTCCCTTTCATCTTATGAGCCGATCCACAGCCCTCCTGTTCTCAGTGTGTGCTCTCAGCCCGAGTCCAATGCTGCCAGCACAGAAGCCAGCCTGATCATCTGCCCCCTGTGCTTCCCCTGCAACTGAACTTGCTGGAAAGGGCAAGAAACTGCTGTCCAGGAAGCAGACGGGGACTGGAAGACACTAAGATGTCTGGGGAAGCAACAAGCAAGGTCAGGGAGGTAACTTAAGTTGAATCCAAGAGATGGGCACAGTCCCTGCCAGTGTCTCAAGTGAAGAGGGTCATCATCCAAGCCTCAGGCAGAGCAATGCAGCAGTGGAGAGTCAAGGATTCCAAACATCAGGGGCGGAAATGCCTCATTACTCATTACTATTCATCCATCCATCCATCCATCCGTCCATCCATCCCTCCCTTTGCCCTCTCAGCACATATTAATGGAGCTCAGGCCTCGAGCAAGGTTTGTGGCCCTCATCCTCGTGGGAGCAAAACCAAGCTCTGGGATTTGCAGCTGTTTGATGTCAAGCGTGTTACTTCCCACTCTGAGTTTCCTGATCAATACGAGGAGGAGGAAGTTTTCCATCTTGCAGGAGGTAATGTGAGGATTAAAAAAGATCACCTTAGCACAGGCCTGCCTCAGACTCTCAATAAATGTCTCCCCGAGTCCATCGCCCTCCTTCCTCCCACGGGTACCGCTCAGCTCATACATGGTTCCTGTAGCTCAGTGAGGCAAGGACAGCCTCTGGGGCCACCTTCCAGCTCTTCCACAGAACCAATTCTCCCCCATGAGGTGGGGCATCTTTTTGGACCAGAACATCACATGAGAAGCGGATGCAGGACGGCCCACCAATCAGCAGGAAGCAGTCGAGTGATGGACAGGGACGTGAGTTCCCACAGCAGTCCTGCCCTTCCTCCTTTTTATAAATCCAAATTTGACACCTTAACCCCTGACGGGTACCAAGCAGAAGCAGATCCACAGCTGTTTGGGGTGGGAGGTGGGGGTGGGGACCCACTCTCATCAGACACTCGTGGAGGACCGGGGGTTATGTACAGTGATAAAGTGTTATTTCAAGATCCCACTGCTGACACCCCTGTGGCCCTCTAACAGATGGCCTTCAAGAAGGTGCGCGGCAGGTGCAGATGTGTCTGTCTGGAAGCGGGGGCTACTCACCAAGCTTGTACCACATATCGCGGATGGAGAAGCCAATTAGCCGTCGCATGTCCCCGTACCTAGGAGGAACCAAAAAAGTCTGCTTCAGGCTCCGTCTCAGAGATCCCCATGCAACTCCCCCTTTGGGAGATCCAAACATGCAACCTACTTATTCAGGATTTTGTTGTACTTGGCGTGTGAGAACTGCTCCAGCTGCAGGGAATCCTGGGTGATAAAAGCCACCGCCAGATGAAAATAGTTATTCCACAGCTGCAAATGAAAGAGGAGAGAGCCGTCATGGAGAGGGTCTGAAGTGGGAAGGCAGATTCAGTGCTGGGGGATGTGAATAATTTATAAGGATGGCGGAAGACAGAAGCAGAACCAGTTTAATTCTGTGCACTGCAATTTTCTAACTGGCACTGACTCTGAAATTAACATCCCGGCCAAAGCGAGGACAATGGATGGACATCTCCAGGGCCGACCATGTCCCCCGTTGACAATAGGACTTGGGCAAGGAGAAGGATTTTAGGGATGCTTTCTGTTTTGCTGCATTCTGTGTTTTGTTTTGGGTTTTTTGGGGTACAAATAACTGGCCCCAGCTGGGTGTCTTGGTGAGCTGGCTGCTCTGCCTGTGTATTAGAGGGTGGTGAGGGATACGTATCTCAGGGACTCCCCGCCTCTCTGGAAGTCCTCCCGAAATTAACCCGACAGCTCCCAGGACCAGCCAGCAGCCCACTCTGTCTTAGAATAGTTTGTCTTCTCCTCACTCTTAGTTCAATGTTTTCAAAATGTGGCCCCAGACAGCAGCATCACCTGGAAACTTGCTAGAAATGCAGATTCCCTGGCCCCACTCAGACCCCCTGAATCAGACCCCCAGACGCTGTGTGTTTACAAGCTTTCCGGGTGAGTCTGATGCTCCGTGGAGTTCCAGAATCACCAAGGACCCAGCTTAGATAGAGGCTTGTCATAGTTTTAACATTCACATGACCTGTTGGTGGTAAATGCAAGGGCTAATACTAGCTCCTGGTGAAACAGACAACCAGTTCAGTGCATGGCACGTGCTCCAGTACCACAGTGACAGAGGCATTGACACAGGCCACAGAACCTGAGAGATAGAGACCCAAACAAAGGCGTTGGTGAGCCTCAGTGAGCCCGTCTGCAAAAGGGGTACCCACTGCGGAGGGCTGCAGTGAAGACCACACGACATGATGAATTTAAAGGGCTAGAATATCAGAAAAGAGCTCAAAAGCACTTGTTAGCCTTATTGACCTTTTCATTATTCTAGTGATTCCTTTGGTACCAAAGCACATAGCACAGCCCAGCTCCTGAGGTACTCAAGGGCAATGATTACAGACGTTAAGGCCCTGCATGGAGGCGGTGGAGGACAGCTTTGCTGGACAAAGCCCACCCACTTTCAGCCTGTGAGCACTGCACAGCAAGAGAACAGGTGACCGGCTAGAGAAATCACCTGCCATTAAGACCTTAATTCTTAATTCCAAGAAGTTCAGATGCTAAGACTAAGTAAAAGTCACCTCTACCCTTGATAATAGTCATATTGCTGCCCAGAGTGTTGCTTTCAAATGGGCATGTGGTTCCAGTTTCAGAAAGAAGCAAGACAATGCTCCGTTTTTACCGCGGCCAGGCCCTTTCCCATGCCCCCTCCTTCTAGCTCTCAATAATGGGTAGCTGTTATTAGTCCCATTTTACAGATGAGGAGACTGAGGCAAAGCCAGGATTTGAACCCAGGCTTTCTGATTGATATCCATGGCTCTCTCCACACACCTCATAGTCAGTCAAAAAATAACATATATTTATTGAATACCAATGTGCCAGATGTTATCATCACATGAGGGTAGGGCAGGGGTCACACAGACTGCAGACCCTGCCCGCATGCTGCTCAGATTCTGTTGAGGGGATGTGCTTTCTTTATTGAAACCTTACCTCCCAGAGTTCAAAAGACCAAGCCACTCCCGGGGTGCAGTGAGGTGACCTGCTGGCTTGTGGCTCCCATAAAATCAACTCTCCACAGACAGGTCCGAGGACCTTTTAAAAGAAGTTGGATCCGACCACTCCCTTCCTCAAAGTCCTGAAAATGCTTCCCCATAACCCTTAGAAGCAGATCCCACACCCCGTGTTTCCACAGTAACCCCACTTATCTAAACTCGCAGTGCAGGTCGGGTCTCCGGGGACTCCTCAGACTGTCTTTCCTCCCGGCGCCCCGTGATTTGCAGGTTTTGAATGTGCTGATTTGGTCTGCTGAGCCCGGAGCTCACACTTCCTCCCATTTAAGACCAGGATGTGAAACAGAAAGCCAGGAAAAGGACAACCTGGTCACAGGACGTGGAAAGGGTCATTGGAAGGTGAGAAATTTCTGACGTTAGGGAATTTCATCAGAATAATCAGAAGAGAATAGGAAGCTGATAGATGACAAAGTAAGTTGAATTGCTGTTGCTTTTGAGAGCAATTCCAGAAATGCCCCCCTCCCCCATATTTGGCAACAGGAGACATGTTAGATCCAATTGCACCTCTTGCTCCCCTGTCTTCCACCTGACTTAGTCCTTCAGAAATGCTTTCTGTCACCCCATTCCTGACTTCCTTTTTGAAAACTGAAGTATAATTCACATATGATAATATTCCCTTGTTAAAGTATATAATTTAGTGGGTTTTAGTATATTCACAAGGTAGTACAACTGCCATCTCCATCTAATTTTAGAACATTTTCATCACCCCAAAAAGATACTTCCTACCTACCAGCAGTCACTCGCCTTGCTGCCTCCCCCTCAGGCCTGGAGACCAGGGACCACTTTCCTTCTCTGCTTAGTCCAATATTTCCTAGATGCGTGACTCTTCACTCAGCCTAATGTTTCCAAGGTTCACCCATGTGGTCACATGTGTCGGTACTTCATTTCTTTTTGTTGCTGAAATTCTTCTGTCATAAGGATGCACCATGTTTTTGTTTTGTTATCCGTCCATCCACTGGCGGGCGTTGGGTTGTTCCCACCTCTTGGCTATTATGAATAGCGCAGCTACGAGCATCTACATGTAAGTTTCTGTGTAGAGGTGGGTACATACTTAGGAGTGGACCTGACTTTCTTCTGCTTTCCTCCTTGAAGACCTTTGTGGACCATGAGACCCTAGATCCAGAGCCTCCTCTTCTTAGTGGATCAGAGAAGGTGCCCTGGGCACCTCACCACAGCCCCTGCCAGAGGGCTCCACGGGACTGACTTTGGAACTGAGGAAGGTGGCCATGGCTAGTGGCTCTGTGCAAGGCCCTGAGTGGTGAGCAGAGGCCACAACTAGATGGTGCTTGGCACTCAGGGGGCCTCCTCAGCCCCGAACCTTCCCCTACTTTGCTTCCGAAGAACAGGACCAAGTGCACCGACCTGGCTTTTCGGGCCCCACTCGTTTCCCAGTATTTCTGCCCTCAACAGACTGCCTTTTTCCGAGGGCTGGTCTGCTCAGGCCCCACGGACTCCTTGGCTTTGCTCACTGTGGTGCTCATACCCACAGCATCGAAGTCCTGTTCTTTCTTCAAATCCCGGTTCAAGACCCACTTCCTTCAGGAAGCTTCCCAGATGGCCGACATCTGCGTGCCCAGTCCCTGCTGAACTGAGTAGCACTCAGTGTCTGCAACCGCAGAGCGGGGCCCTCTGTTCCGCACCTCACTTCCCCTGAGGCGGGAGCACAGGCATCAGTGCCTCACGGACAAGGGTGTGGGTGCCAGGGCTAGCTCTCACTGGCGGGGTGGTCTTTGCTGTACTGGACCTTCCTGAGCCTCGTTTTCCTAACCTATGAAGTGGGAAGCAGAATGGTAACGACCATAAAAAACTGTTATAAGCGCTGATGAGATAACATGAGCACGAAGGCATCCGGCACAGCCTTGGCGCCTGGCAAACGCTCAGTGAATGGCATGGTGGCACTGGCGGGGGCACTGACTGAAGAGTATGTATATGTATGGCCCTGTCTTTTCTAACTGAAGGCTCCATAGATACCCAGAGTCCTGCCTTCCACTTATTTGTATCCTTTATGACATACTCAGCACAACAGTTTGAATACAGCTGGGTTCCAGAAAATATGTATTTATTGATCATTGTATTGTTAGAGAAATTCTCCAGTCGTTTCAAAGGGTCTCAGATTTTTCTTTCCTCCTTTGCCTCAAGCTGCCTGGTGGCATTTCTACTAAGTACCCAGCTCGGCTGGTTCGGAGAAGCCAGAGGGGCTTCTGCAAAACACACGGCTCCCTTTTCCAGGGGGAGGAGATTTTTGATTAGGAATTAAATATTTTGAAATCATAGGACAACAGAAGCATAGAGCTGGAATAAATTTAAGGGTTATCTGATCCAAGGCCCTTATTTCACAGATGTAAAGCAGTAAAACCCAGCCAAAATCATACTGTAACCCGAATTTAGTTATTTTTAATTGACTCTTAAAAATTATAGAATACACACATCGTAAAAAAATTAAATGGTAGAAAATATTAAATAATAAGATATTTCCACCCTACCATGCTTGGACCTTTGTCTAATTTCCCAGAAGAAAATCTTAACAATTTCCTGGCTATCCTTCCAAAAATTATTTATATATAAACAATGTATGTATAGACATCTTTTCTAATATCTGTGGTGCTTTGCTAGTTTCTCATAAATCTCTCTTGCAGATGTTTGCATATTAGCATATTCAGATCTGCTCTGTTCTGGTTTATTGCTGCATGGCGTTCTGTTTAAGGATGCACTTCCATTTTAACCAATTCCTTCCACTGTAGACATTCAGCTTGACTCCACCTTTTCCCCTGTTAGCATCAGAGCTGTAGCCGACATCCTTGTTTCTGCATCTCTGTGCAGGAGAGACTGTAATGCAGCCTCCATGGCTGGAGCTGCAAGTGTGAAGACACAGGGCCTCTGTGTTGCTTTTTGTTGCTTTTATCCTTTGTTTTCACAGATCCTCTCGGGCAATTCCCAGCTCCATTGTCACCAGCAAGTTTCCTTATGGCTGGAAGCCTTGGTTTTCTCACCTGGAACATGAGGCTAATAGTACCCAAAGGGGGTGGTCATAGGGACTAAATGAGGAAGGCTCTGCCTGGCAAACTCCTACTCAGTCTTGCAATCTCAGTTCAAACACCCCTTCCTGGGAAGCCTCCCCAGGTCTCCCAGGCTAAAGGAGATCCGCCTGCCATTCGCCCTCATCACGCCCTGTTCATGGGGTTTACGACATATTTTAAGGGGAACTAATTATGTCCTGTCTCCACGGCTGGATGCAAGCACCATGCAGGCAAGAACCTCATCTGTCTATTCACTCTTCTATTTCCAGCGTCTAGTGTTGTGTCTGACCCAGCGTGTACTCAGGGAACAGGGTATCTCCCCCCAAAAATGTATGCAGGCACTTGAATAATGATAAGGGCACTGTGTATTAAAATACATTTCATTTCAAAAGTGAGCTATCAGCTGTTAAAGTTTTTTGGGGGGACACTTGTGTTTGCTGAATGAGTTCATTAACGAGCCCCCCTCTGTAGGCATTGTTGTTAGTCCTCCCGAGAAACTCCGATTTTGTATTGTTATCCCCCACCTTAGGGAGCAGGGACCCACGGCTGCAGAATGGTGAGGCTGGCATCTGAGCCCACGTTCGTCTCACTCCAGCACTTAATTCTTTAACCACTGTTCTCCTCCCTCAGTTTCCTTTACCCTTTGCTGTTGGTTAAGGTTTTTCCTGGTTCATCTGGAATTTTACAGCAGAGAGGGCAAGGAGTTTTGATCCTATAAGCTTCTTTCTAATGGCCTTGAATTATTCTTTACCCCAAATTCCAACTGGGGGTGGTGGGGGCGGGAAGTGCACGGCATATGATGCTGCTGAAATGCAATGGGCGTGCCCTCTTCTGAGCTGCAAAGGCGCAACTGCCTGGACCATTCTGGGGATACCGTGGACTCTGGGAGTGGGAGTTTCTAGACATGGACTCTAGCTAGGGATATCGGGCCAGAGGCTCTCTGGGGCCCTCAAGCCCTCAAGCTGAAGCAGGCAGGGCCGAAGAAACCATCCCCAGCCTGTGACCATCTTTCTGCTTGGTGGAGCTGTCCCTCGTCCCACCATCCCACCGTCCCACCGTAGGCCTCTAGGCAGGCGGCGCTGTGGGCCTCTTCTAGGCTTCGGTGAGTGCTCCCTCTATGTGTGTGTTCCCTCTTGCACTTTTTTTTTTTTTTTTTTTTACCATTACTGGTTACATTTTCATTATAAAGACCAAGCCTGCCTCATTCCTCCTCTAATGGCTGGGAATATCCCAGAAGCTTCATTTTACGGCTTCTCAGTACAGGTTCAAAAATGATCCAAGGTGGTCCAGTGCCCAGAGCTAATCCAGAAATGCCTCAAGGCCAAGGCTGGAATTGCCAAACTCAGAGCCAATTAGAGCTTCCCAAGGAGAGAGAGGGATCTTAGTGGCATTCAGACAGCTGCCTAAGGCAGAAGCAATTTTCCTGGGACCAAAGAGCACATCCGAGGTGTAACCACGGATTCCTGGGCCAATCAGAGTTTCCTACATGGAGGGTCCAGTCCTACAGCCAGTTGTCATACAGCTGCCTGTCCCTGGGCCAGCAAGCGCTAACCAGGGCAGACAGTGTTTCTAGAGCTAAACAGAGCTGTCTGGTAGAGGCACAGGCACCTGCTCCTAAGAGACAGTGCAGAGGAGTGAAAGGGCTTGGCTTTACAGAGAGGCCTGACTCCCAGCCACCCCACTGAGTGGTCAGATGACCTTTAACAGAAAAGCCAACCACTTTTCTGAAACTCAGTTTATTCACTAATAAAATGGGTATATCCCAACCTAATGGGGTTATAATGAGCATCAAAATGCCCTAAGTAGGTGCGTAGTAAAAGTTAGTCACCTCTTTCCAAGGCTTGGCTGCTAGAAGATGGATTTACAGCCTCCTATCAAGACTCCGCAATCCTGGAGGGCAAGGCTGTGCTCTGCTTTGCTTTCAAATCCCTCAAAGCAATAGCTTAGACCCATGACTATCAGTCCTACACAAAACCATTATTTGTTTGATCTGTTTTAATTACAGGTCTTCCCTGACCAGGCAAATGGATGGGAAGGCCAGGGCCCAGCACCCTGAGCAGGGCCCAGAGATGCAAACTATTTTGGCCCCAGCAGAAGACATCATTGCTGTAACTCTCTGGTCTTGTCACCTACAGAGTGGCCCCACAGAGCTTCTCGCTCTTTGCCCTTTGAATCAGAAAGCCACCGTTCTGGAAAAGACACGGGGGACCATCTCATTGCACCTGCCCCTCCTCTGGACAGCGGCTGCCAGGGCTGGCAGGGCCCAGTGATGGATGCTGTTCCTGCCGATATCAAATGCATAATTAATGAAACCAGGAGAAGGAGACGAGGCGTGTTCCAGGCAGGGTACAGAGAACAAATCCGCTCCACAGGGGGCGAGGAGAACATGGGCTGAGCAGGACACAGATAAGGTTGGAAAATGGCCCTGTTCTTGAGTACTTATCAATAAATATCTACGGAAGTCTCGTTAGAAAAAAGAGACATCCCATGTTGTAGTGCTGGCCACTTTCCAGCGCTACAAAATCTTGTGGGGTTGACCGCTCTAGGCGATGTTGTGGTGACCAGAAAGATGCCTCCCTCCAGTCCTGCTTACTGAGAACTGACATATGAGTTCCCAGACCCGACACATTCAGAACCATCATCACCATCACCATCAACGTGATACCAATGAGCATAATTATAATGAGCGACTATAATAGCTACCATGTTCCTGGCACTGTTTTAAGAACTTTCAGTGACTTAATTCACGTAATCCTCTCCACACGCCAATGAGGTAGCTACGATTAGCATCATAATTTGATGCGGAGGCAACTGAGACACAGAGAGGTCAAGTCATTTGCCTAAAGTCACACAGCTCATAATCTCAAAGGATCCAGGTATGAAACCCCCACTTCTCTGGGCATCTCTTGCATCTCCAGCCAGAGGTAGCAACATGGACTTTTCCACAGGCTTTGGGAGTTGGCTCTTCTTGCCTGCGTTTTGAGGAGATGTCACTGTGCTAGCCCCAGGGACATGCTCTAAGGGGCTGTGTCTCACGGAGGCCCCAGGTCCTGTCTGAGCACAAGTGACTTCTGGAGGAATCGGGAGTCACACAGATGTACTGAGAGCTTTATATTTCAGTGTCTATGAGTGAATAGAAGAGTAAGAAAACGTGATCCATCTTTAGAAGGTGGTGCCCACTCTGACAAATGAAGCAGTGCAAGTCTCCTTACCACAAGATCCATTATGCAGTCACATTTGCATAAGCTGCTCAGTTATTGACTATTTAATCAGGGGCCTGATTCCAAACCCTGAGTACTTCCCTCCCTGCCACACCCCTCTGAGGCAGCCCCAGAGACGTGGCATACCCGTGTGTGTACTGGGATGTGTCTGATGAAGCAACCAGCCCAAGATGCCCACTCAGGTGCCAACTACTCACCTGGAACTCAAAGTTCGTGTGTTCCAGGAACTTCTGGTTCATGATTTCCGCAAACTTGTTGATGGCTCTCAGGAAGACCCTGGAGGAGGAGAGAAGGTCATCAGGCCATCTGAGTCCTCTATCTCAGGCAACCCTCCCCTCCCCCAAAGATCCCTCAGAGAGCGTCCTGACCCAAGGGAGTGGTCAGCCGACCCACTCACCACCTGCTCACACTGTAGACCGGGGGCCATGTTTGCCTTGCAAGAACTCAAAGACCATCTGTTTGACTTCCGTTAGTAAATTTGTACTAGTATTGCCTTTTGTTTAAACTACTACATGCCTAGGGCAGAAAATTCATGCCATCCAGAAAGATAGGGAGAGAAACGGCCCCCTCCCTAAACAAACAGAAACACAACACCGAATCCGAATCCTATCTATCATCTAAAGTAAACCATCGTTGGCGTTTTGATGAATGCAATCTCAGAGGTCTCCCCAGACTCTATGCACAACTGATATTTTACAGATACCGTTTTGATGAATGGGGTTAAACGATAAATGCTGTTTCACAGCCTGTCTTTTTCACTCAGCAATACATTGTGTGTTCCTTTCATGCCAGTGAACTCAGATATATATCATCCCTTTTAATCACTGAAAAGCATTCCATGGTGTGGCTGTGTCGCCGCCCTTTATTTAATCAGTCATTTGCTGTGGGACCTTCCACAGCCTTTTCTATTCCAAGCAGTGTGTCAATGGCCCTATCTGCACACCTTCACCTCCCATCTCCACACCTCTCCTCCAGTCTTCTCCTGAGAGTGGAAATACTGGCCAAAGGCTATGCACACTTAACGTTTTGATGCCTGTTGTCAAATTGTGTTTCTTCTTTTAAATATTTTTTTTAAAAAAATATATTTTTTTATTGATTTCAGAGAGGAAGGAAGAGGGAGAGAGAGAGATGGAAACATCAATGAGAATCATTGACTGGTCGCCTCCTGCATGCCCCCCACTGGGGATGGAGCCCACAACCCAGGCATGTGCCCTTGATCTGAATCGAACCCGGGACCCGTCAGTCCGCAGGCTGACACTCTATCCACTGAGCCAAACCGGCTAGGACAAATTGTGTTTCTTCTTAAATGTCTTCCTCTCCTGCCGAGCCCCACTAACTGGTCCTGCAGCCTCCTGTCTCTTGCCCCTTCCGCCTCAAGAGCTCCTACCAGTCAGCTCCAATCACGCAATGCCCCACCCCATGGCCCCCGCTGCCCACAGGATAAATCCCAGCTCTTTCTCTCAAAGTCAGTGCCCTCCAGGATTGGACCCCAGCCTTCCTTTCTTCCAGATGCATTTCTCACCATTCCCTTGTGCTTCTGATTGTTTTCTGAGTTCCCAGACATGCTCCACCTCTGTATAGAATACCCTCCCCATCTAATCTCCATGGAGCAGGGTCTGCTGCATCCTGTGTCCCTGAAGGACACTCACTGCCACTTCCTTTCCCAGTATTCATCACGGTCTGGGGTCTGGGTGGTTATTTGTGTGGCTCAGTAATGGCCTCCTCCGCTGTGTCTTCCTTGAAATCGTAGCTCCTCTCAGAAGTAACTAACCTCAATCTACATGCCTTGAGTTGCACATGCTATACCCTTAATCGCAGCCCTCTCCCCGGCCCCGGTTGC